GGTGCAACATCAAGGTTAGAGTGTTATGATTTAGTGATGATAGGATCACACAGGTGGCAGTAGAAGATGACCTTTGGTATCTATGCCCAGGTTAGGAATTACAGTTGAAGGACTTCTATTGATAAGTCCACAGCATGTGTATGTATGTATGTATGTATGTATGTATGTATGTATGTATGTGAGGCAAATCATGCAGCTTGGGCCAAGTTCGGGCCAGGTATGTGAATCCCAGGGATATGGAACTTGACAGAGCTTCAGTAGATTTGGCTCAGGTCATGATGCCCACATGTGTCGTGGGGATTAGTTCCTGAGCCACTGGGACAGTGAAACTGATAGGGTGTGAGTTCACTTAGCCCAGATCCTGGGGCAAGCCTTCTAGGTGGGTTTTGGTTACATGAGCCCTGGGATGGGGAAATGTTGGGACTTGGGTCTCCTGCTCTGGGTCCCTAGACCTGCATACTAAGTGGGAGTTTGGTTTGTGAGTCCAAGGGGTGGAGGATCTGATGGGGTTTTGGTCTCCTGGCCAGGAATTCGCGAGTCCCAGGAGTTGCAGATCTGGTGATGCTTGGGACACATGACCCAGCTGCCTGGACTCACCTGCATGAACATGCCCTTAATGAAAAACGTGGGGCAGTGGATAAAGAGCATGTTATAAAAGGAGATTAAGGCAACACATTTGGTGCTGTAGCAGAACAGAACTAATTGGACAACAACCCCAAATGAACAGTGACAACAAATCTCAGTGAATGGAGTCAGTGGACATAGTGAGGATGACATAATCCTTGGGTAGGTGAAATCAGCAGCCCTTCAGAACTATCCAAACCACTTAGACAGAACACTAGGAAAATGTATACATTGAGTCTCTGGGTGGATATGAGGTGGCGGTTTCTCATCCCTGGGTACTGGGATGTGTGGAAAGTTGTGAGTGGTATTCCCCTTTGTTTCTCCTCTTACCCCAGGAACAGTAAGAAGAAATAGTAAATTTGGAAGCAATGAAAAAAAAAAAAAAACTATCAAAGCTAGAAGAGACCCTTTAAAAAAAAAAAAAAAGAAAAAGAAAGAAAGAAAAAAATAAAGGCAATATTAGATTTATGGGTTACTGTCAAAAAATGACCCAACAGGGCCATTAGCAGTAGCCTAATGGCTAAGGTCCTTGCCTTGCATGCACCAGCATCCCATATGGGCACTGCTTCTAATCATGGCAGCCCCACTTCCAATCCAGCTCCCTGCTTGTGGCCTGGGAAAAACTCAAAGCCTTGGAGCCCTGCACCCATGTGGGAGACCTGCAAGAAGCTCTGGGCTCCTGGCTTTAGATCGGCGCATCTCTAACCATTGCAGCCACTTGGACAGTGAATCAATGGACAGATCTTTCTCTGTCTCTCCTCCTCTCTGTATATCTGCCTTTCCAATCAAATATTTTTTTAAATAATTCAGCAAAAGGACTTAGAAATTCCTAAAGGTATGGAAAGAGAATGGATTAGATCTATCCAATGAAATAATAACAGAAATGTTCCTTAATTTGAAGAGACATTCAAGTACATAAAGCACATAGCATTTTTAATAAACACGAGAGAAAACCTTCATCATGATGCAACAGGAAATTTAAAAATTGAAACAGGAAATGTAAAAATTTTCAAATCTGAAAGAGAAAGGCCAGCTTACTTTCAGAAACCCCACCATAACAATGAGGTGAGTTTTCATAAGCAATATACATGTTGCAAGAATGGAGACCCAGTCCAAACCTCTAGTGAAAAACTAAACCAATTATGACAAATATCTCTTCTGGTTTTAGTGTCTTACATTAGGAAAGACATTTACTTCAGGATGACCCATACCTCATGTCCTTCTAAGATTCAGAAAAAATACTTAAATGACCATATTTATATTTCAAATCAATTTAACTTATTCATGTTCTGTAGACGGCTATAATAGAATCAATGTTATTTTTAAGACACAATTCATGAGGCAGCAAGCAAGCCATTTCAAAGGGGCATACACATATGGAGTCCTCTTACATCCACTCATTCAGAGGCAGCAGAGGTAACTCCAGATTGGGCCCAACTGGAGTCACATTTATCCTGTATTCACAACAGAAGCAGTGGGTAACACTGGGGAGCATGCATACATAAGGTTTTCCTTCCTCTGCTTATCCAGAGGTACCAGAGATGACTCCAGACTGTCTTGCCTGGTGGAGACATGTTCTAGGAATTTAGGCATGTAGGCTTACATGTGTTTTGGGCTATGGCACAAGTAAGGTTGAGCAGGGATCTCAGGGCTCTTGTCCAGCAGAGGAATGGCCATGGACAAGGCCAGTGTACTTTCAGGTAAGAGAGAGTGCTGAGACTAAACGTTTTAGAGGGGGTAATGGGAACACCTTTAAAGGTCTGTCTGAAACACCAGCACAAGACGGAGACCAGAGATAGGGTAGTTAGCATTTACCGTCACCAAGTACCACTCACTAGCACACCTAAAGCTAAAGCTGGGGCATACCTTTAAGGGCAAGATCACACTACCCACCAGTGAGGAGTCAGAACAGGAGAAGGGTGACATTAGAATTAGCCATTACAACTAGCATGTGAGAAAATCAAGCCTGGTGACACAATCTATGGGGGATACACAGGTTACCCCTGTGAAACTGCAAACTCCATCTAAGAAATGTAGATGGGAACAGACCTGCTAAGGGGATGTGCCAGCTGGGTTGGGCTTCAACTTGTGAGCATGAGAACACGCATGAGACTGAAGGCAGCAGGCTGGGCAGGACATGCTACAATCTCCCTCAGCATGGGTGTGGACTGGGTCTGTGAAATGACAGACAGGGCTACACTCTTCAGCATCCACTGATATGCATGAGAGCTATGGTTGGTGTAGAAATGAGCTGGGCTGGGTCTTCACTCCCCCTGAACCACAAGAAAGCTGTGTCTAGGCACAAACTAGGTGTGGCTAAGCTGCAACAACCAACAGTAAGAATCAGAATGGGTGTGGGCTGATTGAGTAAGGCCACTGTTCCTGCCAAGACAGGAGGTGGACAAAGTAAACCTGGGCCAAGGATCCACTGGTGTGTGCAAGATCTACTACTGGGAGGAGATCTGACAGAGGAGATTGGGAAATTCCTTGCGGGGATATAGTGCAGATGAACAAAAGAACCAAACCAAAGAGTAGCCTGGACAATGCCAGCTTGCATTACTCATTGCCATACATTTGGGTCAAGGTCAGGATAGGCCAGTTCATAACATGAACTGGCAGATCTGAAAACCAGTATAGGGTGCAAGAGGAGCTGAGTTAAACCGTGACACTAGCTAATTCACACGGGCTGGCACAGGGTTTTAGCTGTACTGGACTAGACTGGAGCATTCACCAACAAAAGCTGGAACTGAGGGCTGGCTGAACTGAGCCAGGCTGTGCAATGCAATAGTGGATGTTGATGTGAGGCAAGCCATGCCAGGCTGGGGTCAGTGGGTGCAGAATCTGTAAGCCATAATGGCAGATCTGGAGAGGCTCAGTTCACCTGGTCCAGGTGCTAGGGATTGCCTTCAGGGAGGTTGCCAGTTTTGCAAAACCTGGGGGTGGGGGATCCAACAGTAATTGTGCACCTGATCGAAATCCTGGGGTCTGCCAGTGAGGTGGGTGCTGGATCAATGAACATGGGATATGGCAGGACTCGGGTGGTTTGGCCCAATTCTGTTGGCCCACCTGCATGGTGGGAGCCAGATTTTTGAAGCCCTGAGGTAGAAAAACCAGTGGGACTCAGGTCTCCTGGCCTGGGTCCTGAGGCCCATGTGCAATGGAGGTTCAGGTTCATGAATTCCGGGGGAAAGGGTTTCTGCCAGGCTTGGGTCACCTGGCCCAGGTTTTTTGGCCTGCCTGCAAGGTGGTTGATGGGTTTGTGAACCCCAGGGGAATGGGATCCAGCAGAGCTCGGGTCTCCTTACCCTGGTCCTTGGGCCTGCCTCAGAGTGAAAAAGGCATAACAGTGTGCACATACCCCAATACGTATGCAGAATATAGCAACCCATTTGACACTGCAGCAGAGGAAGAACAAATTGGACAAATACCCCAGCAAATTATGACAGCAAAAATCTGGGTGGAGACTTGAGGTCGACTTTAGTAGCCAACGGACATTGGGAGGGTTTCCTCACCTTTGGATTGGTGAAATTGATAGCATTTCAGAACTATCCAAGCCACTTGATCAGAACCCTCAGAATACACACCGCATTAGGTCCCTGGGCTGATAGTGGATGGCAGATCCCTATGACTGGGTAATGGGACATTAGAGATGCGGGCTCTGGTTTCCTCATTTATCTTTCCCCTTCACCGAGTCAAGAAGAAATAGAAAATTTGGAAACAATGATTTCACCCCTCTACCTTAACCCTCAATGCTTCCCATCCTAACCAAACATGTAATCATCATCAAAAATAAAAACCAGAAAAAAAAAAAAAAACTGTGGGAGAGTAAGCAAAGGATCACAAACTGAATACTTTCTCAAACATGCTGTATTTTACTAGCAAAGTTATATAAGTATCTCCACCCCCCCTCCCCCCGGTTTACTCCCTGGGTGGCCACAAAGTCCAGGTCTGTACCAAACTTAAGCCTGGAAAAGGACCTTCTTCCATTTTTCTAGGGCATCTGGCCATGCTCTGGTGCTTTTCCCAGGTCAATAATGAGTTGGATTGGAATTGCAGCAGCCAGGCACAAGGGCTGATGTCATTACAGGTGTGGTGCATCTGCTAGGCCACAATGCAGGACACACATTAAATTGCATCACGAAAGTCATACATTAAAGATTTTACATGCCATGTAATGGCACAATTAGCCGTAACAAGAGATACGGTAACATCAGTTAGAAAACTATCAGCATTATACTCAAAACACATGTCACATTGTAGGAATTGAACAACCCCACACCCTGTTCTCCCCCCTCAAATAAAAAATTAGGCAACTTCTGAAAATTACTGCCCTTTCCCTGTGCCATTCAGAATTTTTTGTAAATAAAACATGCCAATGAGTTTTAGAAGAGATTTATTGAGGCATTATCAGAACCATTGGAAAGACAAAAAAGAATTGCTTCAAAGGCACACTATAATTTTTCAATAGTAATGCTGCTAAAGGAAGTAACTGTGTTAATACTTACATGTGGGGTCTGAAACTGTGACGTACAGGGAAACTTAGTGACAGCTATGCTGGCAACCCAATCACTTTTCAGTCCAAGTCCTGGATGCTTCACTTCCAATTCACTACTGATGTGTCGGGCAACACAATATTCCAGTCTCTGCACAGAAATGAGTGACACAGGGGAATCTCCTGGCTCTCAACTTGTGTACACAACTGGCTTTTGATAGTGAACACACAAGAGAGTGTATGCTGGGCTTATATGGAAAATACTGATAGTCCAATCTTAAAACCCTTAATTACATATACAAAAGTTAACATAATATTCCAACACTTGACTGGAAAAGCACCAGTTTAGCTAGGAACCTAGAAAATGTCCTTAGCTATGCAATATTGGAGAAATTGATATCTCGGACACCTGGGAAAAAAACCTAGTGGCAGCAAACCAAATTCCAGTTCAGCAAATTTCCAACTTCAACGCAACTGCTCACATCTTTTTTTCTGTATCATTTTGACATTTTCAGTTTGCACCCTATGACTAATATTTTGAAGATACCCTGGGGAACTTACTAGGGCCAATGAGCTGTTCTCAAAAGGTAGCAGTAGAGGTGGGATGACTTGCAGGACTGTCATCTTGATTGAAAACAAGAGTTGTTACAGCTAAAAACCAGCTCTCAACCTCTTCAAGTGAGCTGAAGACTGACTTATGGTGAGATTTCACATTCGTCACATTGATATGATTTTTTTCCTTCATAAATTCTCCATTGTCTGCTGGTTTAACTAGAAGTTAACATTTTTATCTTATTTACTGTATGAAACGGTGCCCTTTGTAAATTTTATCTAACGAGGCTTGAGTTCAAGGAAAATGCTTTCCAACCTACATTAATCCTCAAAAAAACTTGTGTGAACTCATTAATGTTAAATGATGTCTGATGTTTGGCAAAAGCCTTTTCACAGTAGCATTACAGATTTGTTTGATTTGCAGCAAACAGCTATTAGAATGATGACACTGACTCTGGGTGGACAAAAAAGGTTCATCTAACCAAACTTTTTGTTTTATCCCTTATTTGAATTCCCTGTTGCCTCGGGGTACTAATGCTGAAAAAAGACCAATCCATATATATTACAATCATAAAGTTCCTTCCTCTGAATTCTTGGATGTGCTCCAAGATGTGACTCTTGGCAAAGGGCTTTCCCAATCTTAGCATTCATAAGGCTTCTCCCTTTCCGAATCTTGTTTCATGAGGGCAGATTTGCATAAAAACGTCTTCCTCAGTTACCACATTCATACTGTTTCCCCTTTGTCTGACTTTCCAGATGTCCATAAGATGTGATTTATGGCAAAAAGCTTTTCCAGGGTCATACATTCATAAGGTTTCTCTGCTGTGTGTGCTTTTTGAACTATTGCGAGTTGTGACTTCTGGATAAAGTCTGCTCCACAGTCATTACATTCAGAAGGTTTCTCCCCTGTGTGAATTCTCTGATGTCTTATCAGGGATGACATGTGGCAAAAAGCTTTCCCACAGTCATTACATTCATAAGGTTTCTCCCCTGTGTGGGTTCTCTGATGTAGTGTTAGTTTTGACTTCTGGATAAAGGCTTTCCCACAGTCATTACATTCATAAGGTCTCTCCCCTGTGTGAGTTCTCTGATGTCTTGTGAGTTGTGATTTCTGGATAAAGGTTTTTCCACAGTCATTACATTCATAAGGTTTCTCCCCTGTATGAATCCTCTGATGCCTTATGAGGCATGATGTATGGCCAAAACATTTTCCACAGTCACTACACTCATAAGGTTTCTCCCCCGTGTGAGTTTTCTGGTGTTTTATGAGGTGTGATGTACTCCGAAAGGCTTTTCCACAGTTACTACACTCAAAAGGTCTCTCACCTGTGTGTGTTCTCTGATGTATTGTAAGTTGTGACTTCTGAATAAAGGCTTGTCCACACTCCTTGCATTCATAAGGTTTCTCCCCTGTGTGAATTCTCTGGTGTTTTTTGAGTTGTGATTTCTCAATAAAATCCTTCCCGCACTCATTACATTCGTAAGGTTTCTCCCCTGTGTGGATTCTTTGATGTTTTATGAGTTGTGATGTACAGCTAAAGGCTTTTCCACAGTCATCACATTCATAAGGTTTCTCCCCTGTGTGAATTCTCTGATGCACTCTTAAGTGTGACTTATGACCAAAGGCTTTCCCACACACATTGCATTCATAAGGTTTCTCACCTGTGTGGATTCTATGATGCATAATGAGGGATGACATACGGCCAAAAGCTTTTCCACAATCATCACATTCATAAGGTTTCTCCCCAGTGTGAATTCTTTGATGCATTATAAGAGATGCCATACGGCCAAAAGCTTTCCCACAGTCATCACACTCATAAGGTTTCTCCCCTGTGTGGGTTCTCTGATGCACTGTTAAATGTGACTTATGACCAAAGGCTTTTCCACAGTCATTACACTCATAAGGTTTCTCCCCTGTGTGAACTCTTTGATGCATTACAAGGTGTGACATACGGCCAAAGGCTTTACCACAGTCATTACATTCATAAGGTTTCTCTCCTGTGTGAATCCTGGGATTTCTAATGGGGTCAGGCTTCTGATATAGGGTTTCTCCACAGTTGCTAAACACATGGGGGTTTTCCCCTATGTGACTACTGTAATACATGGTATGGCAGGATTGACTGCTAAATGGTTTTCCACACGGTTCACATGCATTGGAATTTTTCCCTGTGTGAGGCTTTTGATTTATTGCAGGATCAGATTTGTAAATGAGAGGTTTCCCATATCCAAAATTGTCATAGAATTTATCTCTTGTGTGGTTTTTTTGATGACTACTGAGGTTAGAGAATTTATGCAATGTTTTCTTCTCTATCTGAGCTGTCTCCTTATTACAGGTGTCTTCCATATGAACCCGCTCAAATGTAAAGAATATCTTCTTCCTTTTGAATGCTTTCCATTGTGCATTATGTTCAAATTGCTGCTGTACAGTTTGAATCTTGTGATGCTCATTAACAGGTTCATAGCATTGGAAAGAGTTCCCAGGCACATTGGTGGCATCAGATTTCTCTCCAGCATCCATCTCATGAGGAACACTAGCTTCCATCTCATGTATAACACTAGGGTTATACATATTGTGACATACATTGAATTCCTCAAGTTTCACTGCTAAATAATTTCCATTTTTGTTAATCAGTTTTGGAATATGCCTTGAATTGAGATTATTTTTTTTTAATTCCACTCCCTTGCGAGGTCGTAGCTTGCTGTTTGCTGTAACATCATCATTCAAACTTTTGTATTGGCATTCCTGCTTGGTCCCAACCAGTTCATTCTTTCTCATGGCATCTGAAATAAAAAGCAAACAAAACCATGTCACTGAATTACATAACAGTTTTGCCTGAATACTAATGCAAATAGAATAATGTACTTGTTATTAAAATATAAGATTTTAACATAGTACACTATTTACAAATTATAAACTCAGGAAAATTATCAGGATGAAAATTTAGGAAACACATTCTTAGCGTCATAAAAGACACAGTGGAATCCTATAGGAAGTTCCATTAAATAAAAAGGGTGTAGTCACTAAAAACAGTAACATATTACTTGGGATGTCCTAATCTTACATTAGAGTGTCTGCATATGAGTCCTGAAGAAGTAGAACTGGGAGTAAAAGAAAATGTCCTTGAAGCTAAGGGAGTAGGAATTCCAAGAAGGAAGTAAGAACTGACTTTCTCAAACCAGGTGCTGAGGTCAACTACAGACAAGGGACAGAGATCTTTATCCACTATGTAGGAAGATAAAAACAAGGTGTCTCCCTCAGGTGAGGAGACAATTTTTTTTTTTTACATTAGGTCTTTTCTTTTTTTAAAGATTTATTTTTATTTTTTATTGGAAAGGCAGATATACAGAGAGGAGAGACAGAGAGGAAGATCTTCCACCCGATGATTCACTCCCCAAGTGAGCACAACAGCCGATGCTATGCCAATCCGAAGCCAGGAGCCTCTTCCGAGTCTCCCACATGAGTGCAGGGTCCCAAAGCTTTGGGCCATCCTCGACTGCTTTCCCGGGCCACAAGCAGGGAGCTGGATGGGAAGTGAGGCTGCCGGGATTAGAACCGGCACCCATATGGGCTCCCGGGCATGCAAAGTGAGGACCTTAACCACAGCGCCACTATGCCGGGCCCTACATTATGTCTTAATCATTTATCAATGTCAGAATTAGGAAAAGAGATGAGCACCTATCATATTGAGTCAAAGGCAAGTCTATTATTCAAACCTAATCCATCACAGAACTAGTAAGTCCTGATGTTGCATGAGGCACAAAGAGATCCAATTTGTAATATAGGAATGAATGGAATCTCCTGACCTACCCACTATGGTAAATGATAACAGAAATGACTCTTGCAGAACTGGTAAAATGGAATTACACTGATCACTCACATGTGCTCTCTGTCTAATCCACCTTCCTGATTTAGAGAAAACAATAAACATCTGACCAGTTCAAATTCTCCCTATTTTTGAAAAACTGAATTTCATTTACCTAGGAAAAGATGAAACAAAAGGAAAACATGCAATCACACACACCTCCTATCTATCTGCTACTTAGGGCAATGCTCACAACAGTGGCAACTGTACCAAGCTGAATCTAGGAGCATGTACTTAGATCATGATATATGCTGCCTTTCATTCTTATAAATTAGTATGAAACCAGATTCACATGGAGTTACAGTAGACGAAGCTAATTCACATGTACTCCATCAATAGATGAAGGCATCCCAACTGGCAACATACACATTGCAGCAGAACAACAACTCAATGGTTTCTCATTTTTATTGTTCTAAATTTATTTCAAAAGTCAAAAGCTACACAAAGAAGTGAAGAGATGGATATCCTACCTACTGGTTCATGCCCCAGCTGGCTGCAATGACCAGTGCTATGGTTAGGCTGAAGATGCACACAAGAGCCGCATCTGGGCCTATCATACGGGGAGCCAGGAGCCCAAACACTTAAGTCGTTGGTTGCTTTTTCCATTCCACTATCAGAGAGCTACATTGAAAGTGAGGCAGCTACATCATAAACCAACATCCACATGAGATGTAGGCATATCAAGCTGCAGTAAACTTACATCTTGATAAACCCCTAATTAGTCTGTTCTCTGGATGACGAAAAAGAAATAAACATCACTTCAGTATTTTTAAAAACTCATTCAGAAAAGGAAACTAAATTTTTGGACAAAATTAAACCTTCCCAGCAATTATACCTGTACTCTCATCCATTTCAACATTCAGAAGAAACATAAGCAATTAGTAAGTGGTTCCAGATCCAAAGAAATCACTTTTCTTTTTCTTTTTCTTTTTTTTTTTTTAAGATTTTATTTTATTTTTATTGGAAAGGCAGATATACAGAGAGGAGAGACAGAGAGGAAGATCTTCCACCCGATGATTCACTCCCCAAGTGAGCACAACAGCCGATGCTATGCTGGTCCGAAGCCAGGAGCCTCTTCCGGGTCTCCCACGCGGGTGCAGGGTCCCAAAGCCTTGGGCCATCCTCGACTGCTTTCCCGGGCCACAAGCAGGGAGCTGGAAGGGAAGTGGGGCTGCCGGGATAGAACTGGCGCCCATATGGGCCCCCCGGGCGTGCAAGGCGAGGACCTTAATCACTGTGCCACCATGCTGGGCCCAGAAATCACTTTTCAAGGATGAAGCTATCCTTTCAATTTTCACTTTAAATACTAAGTGATTAGTATTTAAAGGTCACCCACATGATAGACTTGAGAAGTATTTAAGAATATTTTTCAGAGTTATAGAAAGACTATAAACAATTTGCATTACTCTCACACCCAGTTTCCATAATACGGTACACTAATTAGCACCAATGAGGCAAACTGATATATCATCTTATTTTTACAAAGGTTTATTTGATTTGAAAGGGAGCACTACAGAGAGGGCACGAAAAAGAGGTCTTCCAACACTGGTTCAGCCTCCTAATGGTTGTAGTGGCTGGTGCTGGGCCAGGCCAAAGCCAAGATCCTAGCATGGCATCTGGATCTCTAAGCGGTTGGAAAAAGCCCAAACACTAGTGACAACCTCTGATACTTTTCCAGATGCATTATCAGGAAACTAGATTGGAAGCAAAGTATAGGAAGACAAATAAGAGGATGGGAAATTTTGCCAGTGTGTAAAACTGTAACCAACTATAATCTTGTGAGAAAGCTGAGAAGGGAAAAGGTCCTGAAGCAGCTGGAACAGGAAAATATGGGCAGAGGAACTCCCTTGTAGGTAGACAATTGATTAGGAAAGGACAATGGGGAACCTTGCTGTTGTGAAACTGTAACCAGCTATAATCCTGTGAGAAAGCTCTGGGAACTCAGAACAAAGGTCCTCTAGCAGATGGAACAGAAAAGCATGGGGTCAGGAACTCCCTAATCCTCAAGCTTTGGTAACAAAGAGAGGTACTTCATTTCACATGTGCCACATTAGTAAACTGCTGGAACACATTGTTCACTGATTCAATCACCCTTGCATGCTAACATGTATATCACATCCTATTTCAAACCCTCCTTCTTTATGCTTCTAAGACCCTCAGTCTTTTGCAGTTAATACATTTTACCTACTGACCATCAGTCAATAGTTGATGTGTATGATTAGTGGCTCTGTGCACCATATCCCTCACTGCTGGAGCATCTGGGAACTGATGTGGAATTATTGGTACTGAAAGCAGAAGTTTAACACACTGTGCCAATTCTGATCCCAATACTGATACAATAGCAACTAAAGCATATATATATTTGCAATTCCTTAGTTATTAGCTATCAGCGTGTATTAGTTATCAACTAATGCCTTTTCCATTTCAGCATCGCAAAATTATCAATTTGGAATAATATAGATATTTTAATTATAAAAATAATACATAACGGTCCAGCTTAGTAACATGGCAGACTAATCTGCAGCCTGCTGTGTCAGCATCTGATATGGGAGCCAGCTGTTTTATTTTCGATCCATCTCCCCTTTATGGCTTGGTGTAACAGTGGACGATGGCTCAAGTCTGTGGGCCTTTGATCCCATGGACACATGGAAGAAGTTACTGGCTTTGGATCAGTTCAGTTCTGGGCATTATGGTCACTTGGAAGGAACTAGCTGATGGAAGATTTGTCTCTTTTCTGTGTAAACCTGCCTTTCAAATAAAAATAAAGAAGTCTTAAAACATCGTAAGTCTTCCTCTGCTGTAGGCAATTGCCTAGGCAAGTGTTACACTACTGGGAGAAAAGCAGCTAATAACAGCAATGGCCATTCTAGGTCTGGTTAATCCCAAATCTGTGTTGACTGTGTCAGTATGCCAACATAGTTGTCTATTCTATTTTTTTTTTTCTTTTAAAATATGCTGGGGAGCAGATGCCAGCACATCAACACACAGGGTCTGTGTAAGTGTGTATGGGCCCCAGGGTAGGCAGGCAGGCCGCCAGGCTGGCATGGCATATCACTTGAAGACTGGTTTAGGGATTTGCATGCTCACGAGCATGGGCATGGGGGCTGTAGATTGCTCAGGGAAGCAGGCTTGGAGATTTGTGGGAGGAAGGACTG